ATTTACTTTATTCTTAAAACTTTTCAAGATTGCAGCAACTAATAAATAAAATAGCGAATAGAAAGTTTGCAAACAACTTCAGTGGCGAATCAACACTTTTGCCTTTTGTTATTTGCATACTGCAGTAAAGCAAACGCGGTTAAGGACTACAAGGAGCGATGGAATGTAATTACTTTAATTTGTCGCAAGTCCTTTTTGCGCTTATTCTATTTCACAATACGCCGCTAAGCATTCTGGCGTGAAATGAACCTCTTAAATCAATTTCACACTTCAGCTTCAGGCTTAACCACTTAATTTAAATTTTATGTAAAATAAAATCTAATTATCTTACTTTCTCAAATCGATATTACTTTCAGATTCATCTGCACCAAAATCATCAGATGATGAAGACGATAACCATTCCATAAAAGTTCCTGAACTTAATTCACCTGATAGCATATCGGATGATCTAGTACGCCCATTGCCACCACAATCGCACCGTAGTCCACGCAAACTAGCTGTTGCACCTACTGAAACTAGTAAACGTAATCCGTCGCCATATTATTATTCCGATTTATTGAAGTCGAAAGAAACTGCGTCTAGTGTCACTGACAAAGAAACTAAAAACAAAAGTCGGCAATCTACTGTTTCTGAACCACCGCAATTAACACAACCGCCTGTTAATATTGGTGTTTATCGTAAGAGTACCAGTCTCGACGTACCCGAACGCGAAGAACGTGCCGAAGAAGACGACGAATTCGAAGAAACCGAACCAACAAACAGTACCATATTAGCTGCTAACGACACTCCAAAACGTTATTCCTTCACTGAAGACGGTGTTCATATTATACGCTGCGAGTCTCCCTCAACATCTACATCAGAAGAATCGGACTGCAGTGAGTGTCAGAAGCGTCGTGAGTGGCATGCTAAAGCCTTAGCATTAGTACGTAAAACTTGTAACGTACAACCATTAAATACCGCCGTTAACACTAGTGGTGCTTCCATTGATTGTAATCACGATAACGAAAACTCTAATTGTGTGCCATTTGAGGAAGATTTATTGTCCATGCCGCCACATAGACTGCTAGGACCTGCAGTATGTGCATGCGTTGCACCCACTATTGGCGATGATATAGATGATTATTTTCGACCACGTAGTATTTTTTATGTACATCCACAAGGCGTGCATGAATGTGAAGACTGCTCACCGGACAATAAACAATTGAGTACAGCAAACTCTCACAGTGTTCTCGATAATCAATCCGATAACTGTTTAAACGAAGACGACGACGAGATGTCAGGTCGCACTCGTCAAATTTATGAAACTGCTTTTGATTGCAAAATAGCTAAGTCGGATGATGATTTAGACGAAGTCGATCGTATAACTAATCACTCAGTACTCATACAATTAAATAATGGCAATAATTTACCAACAAAAGAAATGCGCACAACAAAATCATCGCACAGTAAAAGTCGTCTAGAAGGTAAACGTTTAAAAAACTCAAAAAACCAAGCTCTACAAGAACAAGCTACTAATTCCGGCAACGGTAGCAGCAGTGGTTCACCACTAACCGTAACCTGTGTAACTACTAACAATTCTTGTACAGCTGATAAGAACAATATCGCCGGACTTTCTAATGATTTGGCCAATGCTCATATACATGAGCAAAATGTGGATCAACAAAACAATACAACCACTACATGCACATCCTCATCGCAACTGCCAATGCGTGGTTATACACCATCGCCACCATCAACAGCACCGCTGCCTATAAAATTTCCGGGAAAGCATGATCGATTTTTTATGAATAGCATTAAGAGTGCACCAAATCTACCATCTTCCAATCCAGCCCATCCCAGATTACGCGATTTACGTCTTCCAATACAAACAACACTACGTCAACAACATGCTCTGGGCTCTTCAATCGGCACCAGTAATGAGAACAGCCTTACAGATAGCGCTTATGTGAATCCACCATCAAGCACATCACATCATTTACATCTTCAATCGACAAGCAACTCCAGAACTCGTGACAGGCCACGTTCATTTGTGCTCGAGTCTGGACGAGTGCTGGAGTTACGTAAAAGCCACGCTTCCCACCACCACCATGTAGGAAATGGCGGTCGCAGGCAGCATAATTACTCCTCGACCGAAAGCATTGCCACATCGAGTAGTGGTGGCAGCATGGAATCGTTGCGTTCGAGCACCAGCGAAGGCAATCGCAGTACTTCCAGCTCAGAGTCAAGGCACTCAACATCGTTGAGTTCACATAGCTCTGAATCTGGCAGCTCGAGCGTCGCATTCCCATTACGAGCGCCAGTTGTCATTCATTCCAAATTGCATATCCTAAGTCCGATTTCAGACAAATCATCACAAGAGCCGGCATCAGAACTATCAGAACAGAATAAAACACAAAACACAACGCCTGAAGATGCAGTCCAGCAGCAACAACAACAGCAACTACAACAACAACAACAATCACATGTATTAGCAGCAAATGTGGATATGGCACGCACTATACCACAATTACAAATTGATGCACTCAAGAAGAGAAGAGCACCAGCAAATAAAACATTATTGCACTTAACTGATGAAATGCTTGGTTCGGATAGTGGCATCTCTTTGCACTCACGTGAGGATGGAAAATCTGCCATTGGTTTTCAAAAGTTCACGTTGCCAAAATTAAATTTTCCACCTTCCGATAAAACCAACGACAGTGGCATGAGCGCCGTCGGGGGAATGAGCAATAGTGTTGGGCTACCACAAGATTTACGTGATCTTCCATTCGATATGCCAAAGTTAAGACGCAGAAAAACATTACAGCAGGTGAGTAACACATAGATATTTATTTTCATTTAAAAATTCGTTTAATTTGTCTAATATATGTGCAGGATGCTTGCACTTCTGGTAGTGCAACTTCTGTGGATTTGGGTGATCTACCCTTTGACATGCCGAAGTTACGACGCCGACTACGTGCCAATCAAACGGAAATAAATAATCTCATGGTACACAGCACTGAATCGAGTGGCATATCTCAAGCATCGTCCAGCCATTCAATGCGTGATGACAACAAAGCCGCCATGAAGTTAGGTAAGTGCACATTTTATATCCATTAAAACACACTGCAGCTTACGGAAGCTCATTTTCGGAATAAACTGTCCGCAAATGCATTCATGTCCATCAATTTAAACTATAACCGTTCTGGGTTGTGATATAAAGCAGTATACTATGTGAAGGGTAAAGAAAATTATTTTTGTGAAAACAAGCTAAATCAACATAAAATCAGTTTTTGCACGAAAAGCCATTGCAACCGCAAGCTGAATACAATAAGCAACCCCACACCCAGACTGTCGTCCAAACGATTTTTGCTGTTGCAGTGAAAAGTTATAGAATATTGGAACGCACACAAAACCATAAATTAAACATTCTAACAATGGTCAAAGCTCGGGCATTCGAAACTTTTTAATTAACCCCAAACCATGGAATTGCTGCTCCGCACAATATGCCTATGATAAGAATTTGCGAACTATGGATACGAGTACGAGGGAATGTTTGAACTCTGCCAAACAGAGCTACGCATATGTTACTTGTCGCATTCGCATTTATTGAACGAATTAGGCACAAATGTTATTGATGATTAATGGATGTGTAAGCTCAAGTCAACAAAGGGATTAACTAGACAACAGTTTATGAATTCATTTAAGGGATAGAGATGAAGTGTTGATATTGAGAAAGTTTCCAAATTCTGTCACAGTAGCAAAGAAAACAACAACAGTAAATGATTTTGTTATATTAGAAAACTCATAAAAATTTATTGGATTTTTATAAATTTAATTATTTGGAAGTTTAGTTTTGTTTTTAATAGTTTTGTAAACATTTCTATTCTTAGTGATGTTATCTCTTTACATAACCCTAATTTAAGTCCTTGGCATAACGAAGATACCAAGCAAAATTTTTTCTACGAATACACATATTATGTCTAGCAGTCTTGTTCAAGATTATTACTATTCCATGATTGTTTTACAGAAAAATATTAGATTTTGGAGTGGAGAACAAGAAAAATCAAAAACGAACACCTATTAAATTCTTCCTACATTTCCCACAATAATTCCTCTTGACATTCTTCTTTTAACGATGCTATTTTGCTGGTATGTTTTTCATAAGGCCTCAAAATGTGTGTCTTGATGATGAAACAATTTCAAATTAATATTCATAATAGCTTTTTATATATCCATATTAATCGTATATTAATCTCGTATATTCGTATATTAATATTATATTAATCCCATTCTATATCTGGTGTTATAAAATCCTTATGTGTAAATTAAGACTCCAAAGTGTCTCTTCGTAATAATTCGAAGAGTTTTAAATTTATGTGCCATTAAGAAATAAAAGGAACCTAACGAATGTGATGAGGGCACATAATTTTCCAAGAATCTAAAAAATTAATTAATAATACAAATTCTACTGCATCTGTTTGTACGTTTTGATATATGAAAGCAATTGAGATATAGTACTGCTCATACATCTCTGAGGTTTTCAAACTATTACTACTTCATTTTTCAAAGGTTTCCCCTTGAGTATCTGCCAAAAACGAATTTAAATATAGTTTTTATTACGGAACTTTGCATTCAGTACTCAGGGACTTAAAAACAAGCTGAACATCTGATAATCTATATATATTCCTATTCAATAATAGAATAATATCTTATCAATATATTTCATTCCTATAATAACAGGAAGGAATAATAGGAAGTGATCGCTTTCCTAATTGCGTTTACTTTCACCTGAAGTGATCAGGGTGACTATATTATATGTATTTATTCACTCCCTCCGAAAAAAACCCACTGCCTACACCGCAACCTATTTTTGAGCGATCAGTTTATATGGTTCAACCCTTGTCTAACAAAAGCTCTCCCGATAGCCATGTGTTGCTAAATGGAAAATCGATATCAAACTTCCTGTAGAAATTGAGAAAGACAGTGATGTAGTCAATATTATTTTGAGTAAGACCGTAAAAATTTAGAATGGAACTATAACCATAATTATTAACCTTCTACTCTTATAACTTCTGTTTACCTTCTGTCTCTTAAAATAGAGACACCAATTGTTATCTTATAAGATTATGCGGTATTAAGTGAACATTACCTGAAGTCTAACGCAATGGATTCAAAATTCAAAATTAATAATACCAAATACAAAATTCAGTTGTACTCTGCAGTGTTCAGATGATTTAAGATACAGATTTAAGCATCCAAACATTCAATTTTTCAATTAGACTCAATGTATCGCAAATTATATGCTGGAAACGCCAGGAATTGTCTATAATATGACTAAAGTTTTTACCTTAAAACTTTAATCATTCAATTTTCCATAACTTTGTGTAAAGGATTTATAAGTTTAAACAAAGCAAATCTTACTTATTTCTTGCTATCTTTATTTTCATTTAAATAATCTTAATATTTCTTTTATATTCCTTTCAGATAACGTCATCTTTCGTCAGAATCTCACATTAAATTTAAATGAACCACGTCAGGTGAATAAATTTGGCAGCTTGGACTTACGTGGCCTTTCCTCCACAAAGGAACTCAACCTAAACTTATCACAGTCAACAGCTGTAGATCTAATAGATGTATCAATACCACTCGAACGTCAAGGGTAATTCACAATGTTCATAATACGTTTTAGCAATAATTATCATTATTATATAAATTTAGTTGGTATCATGGAGCGATAACTCGCATCGAAGCTGAAACTACTTTGCGGCCTCTAAATGAAGGTAGCTTTCTGGTGCGTAATTGCGAATCAACCAAACAAGATTATTCGCTCTCACTAAAGTAAGTATCTAAATGTAATATAGAAAAAAATATTTTTAATGATTGAGTGTATCATATTCACTTTCAGAGGTGCTAAAGGCTTTATGCATATGCGAATTCAACGCAACGAAAATGGACAGTATATACTTGGTCAATTTAGTCGCCCTTTCGAGACAGTCCCCGACATGATAAGACACTTCTGCTTAAATCGCTTGCCAGTACGCGGTGCCGAACACATGTGCTTAATAGAACCAGTCATAGCGCAATTGCTTTAAAACAATATAAAACAATAAGACAAAAACTTAATTCTTACAACAGCAAAGCAAGACTATATTAATATTAGTAAAAAAAAGTAAGAAGCAAAAAAAAACAGTAGTGAACTTCCAGACAATATCACAACATATAACACAAATCTCTATTTAACCATTTATGAACATAATAAACTCATTATTGTAATCCTTAGCTATTATAAGCGAAATGCACTCTTATGATGGAATATCCTTAAAGTGCGCTCCTGCAGTTGTGCTGCAATTTAGTATTTAATTAATTTACAACAAAAAAAGAAAAAAAAACAAATGTTTATGCAATTCTAATTTCTTTTTAATTATACGCAAAGCAAAACTTAAAATACTAATTTAGTAAACTAATCTGACGATATATTATCATCCAACTCTACTGCTATGTTTACTATAATAATACTGAGGTATATGTTACGTACTCGTATCAAATACTCGTACATCATCGCATATATTTAAATTTCATATAAAGACACTAATTTAGACTTAAGCTTAAATATCATAAGATTTGTTGATTAATTTTACATAATTTTAACGAAAAAATTAAACCAAAAAATGCATTCGTAATACTTAAAATCGCTGCTCTAAGAGCTTAACACTTAATTACTTATGGAAAAATTATATTGAGGATCATTCATGTAGTTCTTCAATCAATTATAGTATATTTTATTTATGGTAACCATTGTAAAACATTTATTAGAGGACTATACTTATAACTGTACTTTAAGCTCTCCTAATACTCAATGACATTATATCTTGGCAATATGAAGGAAATACGACTGTCAATTTTAAGCAAAATTAACAAAATTAGTTGAAAAATATTTCATGATGTATATGCCGTCTTGGCGAAGAAAATATTTTGATTTAATGAAAGAAAATATTGTAAAAATCTTATAATTTGTTGATTATATAGAGCCGATATCTCAATCTGTCTATATGAAATGGAATGTTGTCTTGAAGAAAAAATGTTTCGAAAGACAAGAATAAAATAATCTCTTTATTTCATAGATTTATGGAGCCGTAAAGAACTGGAGTGCTCTATCTATGTCCATCCCTCCTTTCTTCTGGCTTTTCTTCAATCTTTTCCTCTCTCTTTCCCCTCAACCTTTCCCTCCCTCACTCTTCTTCTCTCCCTACATACTTTTCAATTTACATTCATGTATCAATTACGAGCGTCCAGAAAGCTTAAAGTCTTCCTTCTTAGATAAGAGGAGCCTGTCTTAAGAAAAGGAGTGCTCTATCTATGTCCATCCCTCCTTTCTTCTGGCTTTTCTTCAACCTTTTCCTCTCTCTTTCCCCTCAACCTTTCCCTCCCTCTCTCTTCTTCTCTCCCTACATACTTTTCAATTTACATTCATGTATCAATTACGAGCGTCCAGAAAGCTTAAAGTCTTCCTTCTTAGATAAGAGGAGCCTGTCTTAAGAAAAGAATTTCAGATAAGATCATGTTATTCTTATAAGAAATTAAGAGTCTCAGATAAAATCAGGCTATTTAATTAAGAACTTAAGATCTCAAATAAGATCAGGCTGTTCTCTTAAGCAGCTTAATATCTAAGATAGGATCATGTTGCTCTCAGATAAGATGATGTTAATCTTAAAAGAAGTTTAGGGTCTCAAATAAGATTAAGTTGTTCTCTTAAGAAGTTCAGATCCTAAAAGAAGATCAAGTCGTTCTCTTATGATGTTTTGATTCTCAGATAAGATGAGATGGTTCTCTTAAGAAACTTAGGACTGTTTTCATAATAATAAAGTAATTACTATATTCAGCAAATAAGAACACTTAAATTTGCATAAATAATTCAAACTATTAGAACTAGAAGTTAGATTAGTCATATGTTTGGATTATATTAAAAAGTTGAAATATCGGAACCAGAATTGTACACTGAAATATCATTCTCTAATTTATTGAGAAGGTTTTTCGAACAGTGGTGAATTGTAACAACAAAATTTTATTATTTTTATTTAACTGATTTGACCATACAATTGTTTCGAGTATTGCCAAATACACATCATCAGTGGTCTTTTAAAATTTAATCTTATGTATAATTATTTGTAATAAAATAATTTTTTGAGTCTACAAGTACCAAGGGTTGGACTTATGTTCCGCCAAATTTCAGGGTACAGTTTCAGTATTAGAGTCAGAGTAAGTGTTAATTATATAGCTGACCCAAAGTTGTACTTGACTTGTATGTTTCAACCGAGAGTTTTGTTAATTTGCTGTCAATTATTGCTTAGTCTGATGAAGTGATAAACATAATCCAGTCAAGGCATAGATAAGGGTTATAAAGAAACCTCGCTGTTAATACAGAGTAAAGTGCTCAAATGCATTGACTCAATTAGCCTCAACATAATAATAATAAATAGATTTGAAAGATTTGAAAATAAATTTTTCATAAAATATATTTAGATAATTGCTATCAATAGTAAATTTAGGATACGACTAAATATTCGACACATTTTATATATGTTGTCTTGGAACTTATGTTCAAAGTAGTGTGAAGTTCCAGTAGCAATGTAACTAAACTGATGCTAATATATATTTTCCATTACCTGAGCACTATATAGCCACAATGTCTATGGATATTTCTAGAATGGGACATAGATTTTTCAAATTCAAATTTATCTAATCCAAGCCATACCTTCGCTCCTTAGTTCATCACATCAGATCAGTTAGGACTCTAACATTCAAAATCATCTAACATATGCCATAACTTCGCTTTTTAGGTTAACACCATTCTTGGGATTCATTCATTTATTTTAATAAAATATTGTTTTAGGCATACAGTTAAGAAGGATTTGGAGCATGAACTCTCATGGTTACGCCCATTACTATGTCTTATACAAACAATATAATTAAATTTTGTTTTTTATTCAGTTTAGAAATTGCGTGTCTTATCAAATAACATAATGATGCTTAATTTTCATTAGTTAATTAATTAATTTCTAAAATATTTCGCTTAAAGTCCTTGGAGAAGTCTTAGTCCCTGTTGAGCAATGGTTGCCAGATCGATTCGTATCATTTTCTAAGTGCAATATTAGTTAAGTTTATGTGCCAAAGAATCTGTTAAAGCTAATTTTTATATATTTAGTTTATGTGCAATATTATTTCCTTCTAAAGGTTGCCAAATTAATTACTAAAAAAAACTTTTTTAATTAATTCAATTTTTTTTAACTGAAAAAAATCGTAAATAATTTTTTCTATTTTCCATCGCTTTTCACAATATTTTTTTTTTTATTAAATCTACTTAAAAACAATGAAATATTTTTAATATAATAAATTAAAGGAAATAAAAAAGTTGCTGGTAGAAATAGTGATATTAGCTTATGTAAGCACCGTTTTCAGTTTTATAACAAATATAAAATAATAATAAAATATCATACGTATAAAATATAAAACAAAAGCATTTAGAAGAGTAAGAAAAATATTAAAAATTTTAATTAAAAAAAAACAAAGCAATTAATTTTTAAACAAAACCGTAATACGAACATTCAAAATGACAAACTATTTTATTTTTTACGATTAAAAACAAAACATTTGATACAAAATGAAAACTCGAAGGTTTTTATTTGAAATCCTTTTACATTTTTATAAAATCCTACTTTTATTGATAATTTAATTTCATACACGAAAGGAAATCGCTAATGTACGATGAAGTTTTAAAATTTTTTCTTTTATATATTTTAATACAAATTTTTCCGAAACAAATTTACTTTAATATCCCCGAAGAGAAATATTTTGTAAGTCTCTGCGAAAGAGATATCTATAAAATTATACATGAATATACTTATATGCATAAATACACTATTACAATTTAAAAGAAATCCAAAGTTGTATATTTAGTTTTAGAAATATATCTAGAAATAAAAATGCAATATAACCTAATTTAAGCTTTCGTTATTTATGTTAAAGGATGGCCTCAAAGTGAGATGGGAAATATATGTGTAGGCTTATGTACGAATGCAATAGCAATAGCGTGTACAATGCTTTCCAATATCAACATTCTGTTTGTATCTTTGACTGCTGTGATTTCTATCTTGATTTGTCATAATTATGGGTTTAAGTTTTTCAACAACTTATTCCTAACTCTCCTATATCGAGTTCAATATAGTTCAGCTTAGTTTTGGACGAACTTAGCTTCAACTATTGCCACAACATAGATTTCATCGGGTGCAATAACATGACCTACTACTCTTATGTTTTTTATTTATAGTTGTCAAATTGTTGTGGCACCCATACAATTATCCAAGTTCATGCTCATAATTTTTCTCGACCTTATATAGTATTAAGAATTTTTTTCAGGCTATTTCGAAGCTATGTGTGTTTAAATGTGATCTGCTTAAGATACAAGTCCTGAATGTAGATGTTAGATATATGAAGTATAGCATATCGGCTATTAAATTTGCCCATTTTTTTTAACAAAATTGAACTTTATTTATTAGGATCTACAGCAACACAAATATGCATTTTTTTTGACAATGGTTTCTTTATTGAGCAAATACCTTTCATCTGGAACATTTTTCTAAGCGAACATATAGCCACTGGGGGTCAAATCTGGTGAATAAGGTGGATATAGAAGAAGAAATTCAAAATGTATTTTGCGCAATTTCATTAGTATATCCAGCGACCTCAGAGAAGGTCTTGATTAAACAGCACTTTTTTCTTCATTTAAAGCCGTTTTTTGAGATATCGTCTTCCAGACATACCAATAACGTTTCGACTCCAGCGTGAAGTAGTAGTGGATCATTCATTGTCACATCTCGACGCTAAATATTGATTTTATTTCGCTTAAACACCTTCAAATGGGTATGTGGACCTATGATTGTCGACACATTGTTCTATTTAGTTAACTGGGAACGAACGCGGTATCCATTTCGAAAGCATGACTAAATTAATTATAAATTACTTTATAAAAAAAAATAACTTAAGTTTAAAAGAAGCTATTAAGGTTTAAATAATAATAATAATAATTTTAAATATTCTTTGTACTTATGGACTAATTTCTTTTCATTTTCCTCACTAGGCTCCTATATCCAACTATTTCAATTACTATTCATAAGATAAAGGAAAATGATTTGATATTAACGTTGTGGCAAAACTAATCTACAATATTAAAATAATGTTTCAATTTGCTTTGTATTTGCAAGAACTGTAATTTCTAAAATTCGAAAGAATAAGAAACCGTTAATGATAGTCAAAATCGATCCTCAAGTATTATTGAGAAGTGATCAGATGAGGGTTAAAAGCAAACTGAAAGAAGTTTTCATGCAATTGATACATAGTTAATTTGGAATAGCCATCAGATCACATTTAGATTCAACCGAATTAAAATAGTTTTTATGGATTAATTTAAATTTAACAATGATCTGTAAGCGTCTTCTGGCTTATGTCTTTGTTCAAAAATGTTTAGAGTTTGTCTATCTAGTTTGTCTAGATATATTTGTTTTTATAAAACAAATATGTATACAAAATCAAAGAAAGTTCTTAATAATTATGAAAATAA